GCAACTTAGTGAGGCCCTAAGCAACTTAGCAAGACACTGTCTCAACATTAAAACTAATATAAAAAGAACTAGGCCTGTAGCTCTGTGGTAAAGTATCCCTGGGTTTGATCCCAAGTACCAAAACAAAAAGGAAAACAAAAAAAAAAGGGAGAGAAGAGATGGTAAAGTGGATCAATGGTGTGATGTTTGAGAACAAGGATCAGAAAGGTGGGAAGGATGTAATAAAAATGAAATCATGAAATAATTCAAATTATTCTAGTGCTTATGTTTCTAACATTTCCTCTTGTATACTCCTATTAATGATTACACCTTTGGCAACATTGCTACTTATTAATGAGTACATCCTTTCTAGCCAGGTGGCAAAGGAGAGAGACTGAGTGAACATATTTGCTCTTTTGAGGTCCTATTTATATAGAGACCCACAGAGCATTGAACCTGGAAGGGACCTTAGAGCTTGTTGAATTCAACCTTCACAGAAGACAAAACTGTTAAAGTGGGGCTTGGGCAAGTGGAGGTGAAACACCACCCTCTGATAYATTTGCACAATCAATCTGGAAAGTGCTGGGGAGAGAAACCACATAAGTGTTTCTTTGATGACACTGGCTCAGACATTAATCCAGACATTAAACTCAGACATTAATTTATACCTCAGACTGGCTGCTTTCTGATTTAACTCCACAAAAGCTTCCAGAACATATTCATAGAACATAGTTTATGAATCCAATTTCCAGACTTGGCTGTCCTATAAGTGCATATTTTCTTATGGTTGGATTCAATACTCCCTTCCACAAAGGAAGCTGGTTTATAGCATCATCCTAAGAGCATCAGTCCCCAAGGATAACTCTCTTTTCATTTCTACTTCTGCATCACAATAGACTGAAGTAAATATAAAAGCACAGCAGAGAAGGCCCAAAGTGTGGCTCTGTATGAGGAAGAGGCTACAACTTTGCTCCCAAAGGCACTGACTACAAAGAACACCCTGTTTGCATGAACCAACAGGGAGTGTGGTTCTGTGTTGAAGCAAGGACCTGACAATGTCCCTCATTATGTGCAAGAACCAAAACAGGGGTCCCAAGGTGGTGAGGAAGTTCAATGTGAAGATGGCTTCGGAGATGGTAGATGAAGCAGAAGGTCAGGAAGCATCCCTGAATTACAGCAACAATCATGGGCTGAGCAAGGCCACCAAGTAACACGTAGGAAACTGAGTCCAAGAAAAGTGAACATCTTTGTAGCCCATGGGTGGCAAGCTTAAGACAGTCTCCATTCTGATTTCCATGCCCTTACTAACTTTTACACTTTTGCCTGCGCTAATATTTTTCTAGAAGTACCAGAGGGAAGACAGCAAAAATTACAGCAGGCTACACTAAGGACCCTGCTGCAAGCAGTGCCAGTGGCCACACAGGAACACAGCTCTCAAGCTGCCACTTCTAACGTCAAACCAAAACACAGCCCAGTGAGTGTGGAGACTCATGGCTTTCTATCTGGAGGTGGAACTTTGCAAGTGAAGAGCATTTYCAGCCTTTATAATGTGAGCAGCACATTCTGCACATCCCCTGGACCTAAGTCATACTGGGTGCATTAAGTTAGTCAGAAGTTTTAGAAACCATTCCTGCCTTCCCACTATTCTCCTCTAGCTGACTTTTTGATGTGTCTGGAATGTATTTTATGTCTTATGTGTGAGGGGCACAGAAAGTTTAAGACTCATTGATGAGGCCGCACAGTAACTAATCACAGGTCTGTGATCATCTTACACAGATGATCAAGCTCCAAGAACTCTCCTAATCAAAGACCTAGTATTAAACTGTAAACTATGCAACTCCTAGAAGAAAATGCAGGGTCAATACTCCAACACATAGGCATAAGGCAGCGATTTTCTCAATAGGACCCATAAAACTCAGGAAATAGTGCCAAGAATTAGTAAATGGGATGGCATCAAATTAAAAAGTTTCTGCACAGGAAACAATCAGGAATGTGAAGAGAGAACCTATAGAATGAGAGAATCTTTGCTAGCTAAACTTCTGACATAAGATCAACAGATAGATATATAAAGAACTCAAAAAAACTATACACCAAAAAGCAAATAACCCAATTAATGCATGGGCAAATGAATTAAACAGACACTTCCTAAAGAAATGCAAATGGCCAACAAATATAGGAAAAAATGTCCAACATCATCAGCAATTAGGGAAATGCAAATCAAAACTACACTAAGATTTGATCTTATACCAGTCAGAATGGTTGTCATCAAAATACAAATAATAATAAATGCTGGAGAGGAAGTGGAGAAAAAGGAACACTTTTACACTGTTGGTGGAACTGTAAATTAGTACGACCCGTATGGAAATCAGTATGGAGGTTCCTCAGAAGACAAGGCATGGAACCACCATATGACCCAGTTAAACCACTCCTTGGTATTTAACCTAAAGAATTCAAGTCAAACTATAAGGATACATGTATACCCATGTTCCTAGTAGCATAATTCACAATAGCCAAACTACCAACCAACCTAGGTATCCATCAATGGATGAACAGGTAAAGAAAATGTGTCACTTATATACAAAGGAGTTTTATTCTGTCATAAAGAAAAATGAAATTATGTCATTTGCAGGAAAGTGGCTGAAGCTTGAGATCACTATGTTAAGCAAAATAAGTCAAACTCAGAAGGCCAAGGATCATATGTGTTCTCTTATATGTGAAAGCTAGAGAGGGAAAAGGAAAAAAGAGGTGGGGGAGGGGATCTCATGAAAATCAGAAGGACATCAGTAGAGGAAAGGAACCAAGGGGTGGAGGGTAGGTGGGGGAGTGCTGGGGAGTAATACTGACCACATTATGTTGTTATAGTGTGTGCATGTATAAATATGCAACAAAAATCCCCATCATTATTTATAACTATGATGAACCAATAAAAAATGTGGGGATAAAAACAACAATCCTTTTAGACCAACAGAAATATACTGCAAGTCACATTTGTAATTTGAATTTTCTATTAGCCACATTTAAAAAAGGAAAAAGAAATAGATAGATTACAATATTTACTGCTAGGCCAAAAAAAAAAAAAAAGAAATAAAAGAAACAGATGAACATCATGTTAATAATATGTTTAACCTAATATAGCCAAATCATTGTCATTTCAATAATATATATTAAGTACCTAAGCATACTACAAGTAATATATATCTAGTAAAATACATGTATATTAAGTCTTCAAAATCTGATGTGTATTTATGGTTATACCCCATCTCAATCCATAATTGCCCACATTGCAAGTGCTTAATTGCCATATATGGCTACTGGCTACAATCCTGGACAGCACAAATCTAGACTGTTCTTACCATCCACAGAGCTCCAACCACACTCTTGTCTGTCCYGGCAATATAACTTTACTCCAACAGAAATAGAAATTTCTTGGGATGTAGCTATAGCTTAGAGTGTTGTTTAGCATTGGCATTTAGCATTCAGCATTCCCTCTCCAGTGGAAAAAAGGAAGGAAGGAAGGAAGGGAAGAAGGGAAGGAGGGAGGGAGGGAGGGGAAAGAAAGAAAGAAAACTTCTTGCCTGTCTCAGGGCCTTTCCTTTCCAGATTTAAAGTGTCCACTTTGGTCTTTACTGATCCCAACTCTCCTCCAATTGTCCAATCAGTTATCAAGGATTCGGTACTGAGTGCTTACCAAGTACTGGGGATTTTGTTAACTGATGAGGATAAAAAGATAAGAAAGTTACAGACCCTGACTTCTAGGAGCTCTCAGCTTAGTGAGAAGTGCGCAAAATGTGCAGTTGCTTTTTAGAGGCACATACAATGGGATGCAGAGAAGAAGGAACAACTGTTTCTTCTGGGGCTTCTGGGAAGAACTCAGAGATGGACATTGGACTGGGTTTTGAGAAACTGCAGAGAGGCAAGAAAAGATGGTTCAAGCTGGAAAAAGCATATTCAAGACAGAAGTATGACAGTGTGCATGCTTGGGAATGGCAGACAGTGTCAAGCTCAGCAAGAACAAGACAAGGAGAGCCCAGAGTGCGGCTGGAAGGCGAGCTGGGCCCTGWGTGCCCTATGACACATTTAGAATTGCTGTGGGGCAACTCTGAGCAGAAATCTATGGACAGCACAATCTTGTGGCAACTTGTTGCACAGATCGGAGAGCACAAAGAAATAAGGAGAGCTGAACTAAGGACAGCAGTGTTTCTAGACGCGGGGGCGGGGGGGGGTGTGAGCACCCACATGAACACAGGGAATGTGAGGGTGCTGCTTTCTGAAAATAATCTCAAGATGAGCCTCACAGTGAATCTGGGCAAAGGGCCTAATTATTAAAGCTTTCCTGAACAAAGTATCTATACGAGGGACATTAGGGCCACTAGCATGGTGTTTATACAGGACCCTTACAATCTGTTGCCATCTGAAGGCACTAAATGTCCCTTTCCCTGAAAGATTAATAAGGCTCCTTAAAGATTAATTTAGGCAGCAGACAGATTCCAGATGAATTATTTCTAGGACGGCTGGGAAAATCACACCTGTGATATTCAGCAGGGGTGGGCAGCACCTGGCCAACGTGATCAAGCAAACAGTGTGGTGGCTCACATCACCCTGGGACCCCACGGTGGCTTATTTGATGGTGTATTTTCTGGAAGAAGATTCTGGAACTCTCAGGCAAGAACAAGACATCTGCAGTGAGAAGGAGCTTCAGAGATCTCTGGCTTTTCCATTTGTAGATGGGGAAAGCTGTGACATGGAGAGTGAAGTGACTTAAAGGTCACACAGCCAGTAATGGCAGAGCCAAGCATAAAATTCACCTTTCTTGATTCATCTCCTGGTTCTCCTCTGGCAACATCCTGCCCTCTGTGGTGTCAAAGCCACCATGGGTTTAGGGGACCATGTGTCATGAGGAACTGTTTACCTTCACAGCAACTCAGCTAGACAAAGACAAAACTAGGCTGGAGACGGTAGGTAATAAAACCACCTTTTGAGCCGAAGAGATTGAATACAGTAGCAATGAACTGGGTACTCACATGGAGAAAAGTCTACAAACTTCGGGTCGATATTATGCAGCAGCTCCACTCTGGGGGATGGGCATCCTTCACTAGAAAAGAATTTTTTTAGGAAATGTTAATTTCCTCTCTCAAATGGGCATGGGTTATTTTAATACTTCCTTTCCTTGTACTTGCAGAAAATAACAAACCTGCCAGTTAATAATTTTGTCATGAATKTAAAGTCTCCAAAGACTGTGGCTGGTGTATGTCATCATTTGTCTACATTATAACAATCACTGAGCACTTCACACAAAAATTCAGTGTCAAGCATATGATGATATAAAAGTAAACGAGTCCTGTGACCTTTTGCAATAAACACTGTGGCTGTATTTAAACATAACCATTCTTTACACCTGAGAAAAGAGAAGTCCAGTCATTCTGTGGTAACTTCATTCGGGTCACTTACAAGGAAGAGAAGAAAGAGCACCTGCCCAAATGAAGCACATTGCATATTACAGATACAGTATGTCTCATAGATTGGTGTACGCCACAAACCTTAATTTCTCCCATACCAAAGTGGGTCATATATTTAACACAAACATATATAAAGTAGACCTCCTTAAGATTTTTTAAAAAGAGTCTATATACAACTTCMGTCACAATCTATATTAGTGCTAAGAAAGACATAGAGACAACTTAGTTCAATCCTGTCCTTTTACTAATGAGGAAGGTACACAGTATGTCACTGGAAGAATATTGGGTCATATGACTCTCAGAGCAGTATTTTTTTAAGAACTGGGAGAATAAACACCACCAGATACAGTGAGGAATGCACGAAGTAGCAAGGTCATTTTTTAAAATTGCTTTTATTTTTTAAATATATGACAGGGGAATGCATCACAATTCTTATTACAYATATAGAACACAATTTTTCATATCTCTGAGCAAGGCCATTTTGTTAGAAAGGACTTAGCCTTATAGAAACTGTTGAGCACAATTTTAATTATCAAGAGAGTACTGAGGACTACTTGACAATCTGATACTCTACAATTAAGTACTAAAGGTTGCAAAATACAATTGACCGTGGAACTTGTGCATAATGTGAATTACCAACAAGTCTTTTGAAAGAATCGAGAAAATGTGTTTTCAGGTGGCCTAAAGTCCATACGTCCATACCCAAATTCACAGCTAGGCATTTACAACAGTCATTTGGGATTTCAAGGACTAGTTAAATTTCAAAAACCTTTGTGTTTGACAAGTAAGGAAATGTTAAAACCAAATTTAACTAATTAATTATAGCCAAACCAAAAAAACTTCAACTCCCATGGTCAGTGTTCTCTAAAATAAAGGTAATTTCAACAGTAAAAAAAAAAGAAAAAAGAAAAATAGGAAGGACACAATCTCAGAATAAATGACAATCCTTTAAATTCAGCATATTTAACTTTAAGGTCCTATAATATTTTGTTGCTCCTCTCTACTCCATAAAACACAGTAACTAGAGAGAGTGGTATTATACTCACGGACTGGTGCCCCCCGTTCTTATTTTACTACTCAGGGATAGCACTGCAGGATTGGGTGGGGCTTGAGGGTAAGCACATCTCCAAGGACCCCCTCTTCTCATTTGCTTCCTGAGTCACTTCACTRGCTCCATATATATCCTGGAGACTGTCAACCCACCCCAAATGCCAGGAACTAGGGTTTGATCCCAGAATGGGAGTCGGGATAATATGCAAAGAAAATGGTAAATGCAAAAACCAAAAAAAAAAAAAAAAAAATGTAAACAGAATGAAGAAGATGATGATGATGTCTAATTTGTAAGCTTAAAAACAAGTGAAGAGATTAAAATTCTGGATTATRACATCAAGGAAGGGAAATTAGAATGAAAACATTATTACGTTCTGTAAGATTTGGGAAGGAGGCAAAGCTATTGATTAGATTTAACCAAGTATAACTTGTATGCCACATTTTTAGGATAACAATTAAAAACAATTTTTTCTGGGCTAGAGAAAATCTAAACAAAATTCATTCGATTCAAAGGAAAGAATGAAGTGGGGTGGATAGGCATCCAAAATTTTCAGGTTCTAAACTGCTAAGAAACCATTCATCTTTAAAGCAGAGTTCCCTGGAATGCTCCAGAATAGAAGACACAGTTAAATAAAGGATGTGTTTCCAATAACTCTAGAGAGAGTTTATATGGATATAATTTGTTCATTTCTTTTTTCCATTATTTAGAAGAGGGAAGGAAACTAAATTAAATAACTTTTTTAACCCCAAAGGTTATGAATAATCCTAGTTGACTAATGAGTCACTGGAAAAAAAATTTCTTAGGCAGAATCATCAGGAAGTAAATAGGGGCCCAGACTCTGCCTATCAGAAGCTGCAATTCTATTTTTTAAAATGTAAYAATCAGGCTGAGCCTGGTGACACATGATGGTAGTCCCAGCTACTCAGAAGGTGGAGGCAGGAAGATTGCAAGTTAGAGGCCAGTCTGGGTGACTTAGTGAGACCCCTGTCTCAAAATAAAAAGGGCTGGGCATATAATTTAGTGGTTGAGCGCTTGCCTAGCAGGCACAGGTCCTGGGTCCAAACCCTAGCACTGCCACACACAAAAAAGAATTCTGTTGATAATTTCCTACAACCAGTGCCTTAATATACTCTGAATAGGTAAGTGGTCTAACTACCTTGAACACAAATATTTGGCATATGATATAATTTATTTTTCAATAAATTATATTGAAATATTTGGCATATGATATAATTTATTTATCAGTGAGTTGAAGAAAAAAACGTGTTATATGTGCATAGCATGGTTTCAGTAATATCAACTGTGTGATCACTACTGTCCTATGAAATAAATAGTGATCCTATCAAACATGTAAAATGGTTAGAGGATTTATGATTACTATAATATAATATTCTGCCTTCTGTCTGTGTCTCTCCATATAATCATATATGTATGTATTCATCTTTAGGTAATGCTACAAATACTATAATATCCTATGATTCTAATATACACTATACACTATACTGTCCCAAAGTTTTATTTCCATAYAATCAAAGTACCAAAAGTAGACTTTTTTTTAACCAATTATGAAGGTATCACTTTCTCATATTTAGTACAGCATTGTCTTTGAGAGCAAAGGTGTTAAAGGACAAATTACTGGGTAAATAAAATAAACATGGGCCATGTTTTTCTTTTTATTTCCTTTTTTTTTTTTTTGGTACTAGGGATCCAGGGGCAATTTACCACAGAGCCACGTCCCCAGCCCTTTTTCTTTATTTATTTTTTTATTTTGAGACAGGGTCTCACTAAGTTGCTTAGGGCCTCATTAAGTTGCTGAGGCTGGCCTCAAACATACGATCCTCTTGTCTCAATCTCCTGAGCAGCTGGAATTATAGGCGTGCACCACTACACGGGGCTGAGCCTTATTTTTCTTATTAGCAAAATGTGGATAAAAATACTTATGTGACGGGATTGTTATGAAAGTTAAATGAGGCAAGAAAGCCCCTTTTATTGCAAAATATAGATCCTGACTCTGCAGACACGAAAAGAATACAACCACAGACACAAGAGTAAAGCCTGAGACACAAATACAAGAATAATATGAAGATAAAATGGAACATTAATTCTCCTCTCCATTCTTCTTGCTGGCAAGAGTCCCTTTATGAAACACAGTGGGGTAGCTGTAACTTTAATTTYCAAGACATGCTGCGTCTTCTCCACCATGTGGGAGCCTCTTATTAGAAAAACACCAGTGTCCACATAACTGAGTCATGCAACCTACTCATTATGAACTGCATATTAAAAGAAAGATATAGTGCAATCTGTTATGAATCTTCCTATTTTTTTTTGTTTTGTTTTAGACAGATGGTATGGTTTAGCTGTATAAGCAACACCATCTTCAACAGGCTATTGATTCCATTTGTGAAACTTAAATCTGCATAATGACTGCTGATGTGTATGGGAAGTGATTTTTCAATAATCACATAACTTCACCAAAAGCCCTGTTGTGGGTGAACTGAGGCAATATGGATGGTTTCACTACAGCAAGTGTTTGGGCTCCAGACTGACAGCAAGAGAGCAGAGCTTCTTTCAGGCAGGAATGGCTGGAACAGTTCAAGGGTCRTCTCTGTGCATGCTCCCTCCTACCCCCAGGGTATACAAATGCCCATGGCAATGAAGTAGACAAAGAGCTGTGTAAAGAAAAAGAATCATTTTGTTCACAGTGACCATTTAATGAGTCAATGTGAACAGAGTCCTATCTCTAAGTCAGTGAAATGGGCACAGATGAAACGTGCTAAACCGAGCTCTTTTTATCCTTAGTTTTGAATATTAGTAGCTAGCATTGATAGAGCATATATTATGCCATATTCTAAATACTTCACATGCATTATCTCATTTAATTATCAACACAATCTTGACATAGAGTGGCCAAATGARTTACAAGGTTGAGCAGGTGATAAAATTCAGGTAGACCAATGCCTAAATCCCCACTCCTAACATGGAGGCAAAATTGTCTGTTGTGTGAAATRTACACATGACCTCTGTGTCTACTTGAATGCCGGTGTTTCTTAATTCACTTAGCTTATTTTTAAGGCTCCATAAGTAAATATTTCTATTATAACAGCAAATGTCTCTATTTCCAAAAGTGTTGATCATTTTTATCTATCTCCTTCTTGTAAAGACTTGTTAAGTGGCATACGATGGTCAGTGGTGACATTTCAGTATTCAGTTTGTTTACTCCAAATTTCACATTTTCTAGATCAGTTTTATTAAAAAACAACAACAAAAGAACAAGGAAATACTGATCAGTGACTAGTTTCCAATGTGCTATAAATATTTTCTAAAAGTCTACAGTGTCAGACACTGAGATCACAGCACTGTGCATTTATAGAGTTTCCAGTTTTTGACCTTCATTTTCCTATTTGTTGGAGGGTGGGGCAATAAAACACTTCCCATAAATAAATGAAATGCTATTCCRTACTTCTCTTACCCCTAGCTGCTGACCATCTGTCATAAAGGACACACCCTAGAAGACAGTATCAAATTTTTAGAAAAAGAAATAGCCATAGAAATAATTTCTGAAAATTAAAAAAAAACTGATTAAAA